CGCTTGCCACTCCTGAGACGCTAGATGGGGGACCACATTTTCCTTCGAAGTCATCCGAAGGTCGTTCTCACTAACCTCACCGAAATCCTCCCACGCCTGGGTTTTTGCCTCAGCAACTACCAAAGGCCAGGACGGATTACTACAAATCTTAGGAATGATTTTGATGCGATTTCATGCTCTCAGAAGAACACTTTCAGCCGAGCCAAGCACTAAATTACATTTAAACAGAACTATTTTCCGCTAACACGAGCATCACAGTCTGTGCAGAAAAACAGTGAGTATCTTAAAACATAGTGGACATGCACATATGCGCTAAGCATATGTGTACTTGGAATTACAGCGCATTTGTTTTTCAAGAGAGCAAGTTCAAGATGCAAGTCGACATCGTCGTATTCCCTCAGTTTCACGTGAGCATTCAAATGTGCTACTCCCAACATACACAATGAAATGCACTTTATAAGAGAGAGAGAACAGGCTGCGCCTTCCAATGAATCTCAGGCCTTTTGCATAGTCGGGGGAACGTTTGAAGACCTTTTAATGACATTGTAGAGGGATTAGTCATTCTTTGTGGAGTGGTCCACTCCAGCGACTCCAGTGTCTTGACAGCTAGTAGGAAGAGACTGAACGGAATGATTAAGGATGACATTTCTAGGCTGGAGTGTGCCCTCAGACCTGTGCAAGCGGAGTGAGAATCGTGGTTAAAGTACCATCTCTGCTAAATGCCACACCTCCTTCAGTGACATGTCACGTCCAATTTTCAGGAGAGAAATGTTGCAGGTTCATCCTGACTTCAGCACTGCACCCAGTAGACTGCACTGTACTTTTATAACGGAGCACCTTAACTTTTAATTACAACACTTGTCCAGAATGTCCATATTAAACAGCTTCAACTAATGCGCATACTGATCATATTAAACCCTGCAATAAATACACTCTTGGAATAGTATGTGAGGTTGCAACTAAATGCAAAAAAGTACACACTTTCAATTTAGAACGTGTGTTTTTACAGATTTCGAATATCTAACCACGGATGAAAATGTCTGACGGAGTGCAATCACAATGTGACCATTAAGCAGTTTCCTTTTTTGTCTCGTTTCTGTTTTTGAATTATTTATTATTTGCTTAAGCGATTATTCATTAAGCAAATTAGGTGGTAATGAAAAAGGTTCATACCGCAGTGACAGGAGATTTTGTCTGGTGCCAGTCTGTGTATTGGTGCAGATGATACTGGCTATAAAATCATTTAAAAAGGTATTGACATTTTATGGTTGTTATACACTCAGTGATTATCTCTGATCTTAATAATAATAATAATAATAATTATTATTATTATTAAATTTCCAATGTACATACATTTGAATCAGATTTTTTTAACTGTTTCTGGCACAAGTGAATTTTTACATGCTTTGTAAACGTTTGTTTAATTATAAAAGAAATAGATGTTGCTACAGAATGGTCCAGCGAGGATGGCCTACTTCAGGCCCAAGACACAAGCACCCCGGGGATGTCCAGCAACGACAGTCAAATGGCGCCGACATTCCTCCCAATCAAAACATCGGTGCTGGTACGCGTGTGCTGCCGAGAAGGCGCAACCACCAAGCACAGATTCTTCTTCTTTGACGAATGCCGTGGCCAAAAATGTTGAAAACAGTCCACATCAGGTCCACACGACGTAACAACAAACACCATGTGACAAAACAAAGACAAAAACAACAAAAAAACAACAAAAAACACAAGGCTCTTGAAGAGCACTTGCCGACGCTTGCCTATCCGGGCGCCATCATTTGCTCTTATTTACTCATCATGTTTCCAGACTTAACCAAATATGTTTTTGGCATGTGTGGTATGTATACAAATGAGTCATGAGATTGTTTTCCAACTCTTTGGATGATTGACCCTTTGATGGACCATCAAATTAATTGTCTCGTCGGCATCAATGTTTGCAGCTCAATTACCATGAGCATGGCTCATACTGTTGCTAAAGCTATGTATGTGCTGGACCAAGTGCCAAGCACATCTTTATAAATGGGAAACGGGTCTGAGAGAAGACCCTCCACCTTCACTGACCACGTACCCAACACAGTTAAACCAGAGAAGCCGATTTTCTTTCATCTCAAAAGTACAACGGAATGAAGAACAGAATCATAGACTTATCCGGATGCACAATATTGTTTGTAGTCTTGGGCAACGGTTTTCAACTTTTTATTTTTGCTCCAAGGAGCAGTTTCAAAAAAAGACTTGTTATTTGTTTCTATTTTGCTCCATCAAAACAACAAATGATTCAATGCGACTTGCTAGCATGCTGAAGGCTGTTAGTCATGCACACATTTCTCATTATCAAGGCTGCCGGTCCATACCGTAGCATGTGAGATGCAAGACGTAACCTGCGGACATCAATGCGAGGCAGAGGAAAAATGTAATTTTTCTCTTGTACTGTATCTATTTCACAAGTTCTTTTGGTGTATTGTACTAGTGACCATGCCACCTTTCTCATTTATGGTTGAATATTTCCATTGTTGTCAGCTTGTTATTGGACATCACATTGGCGATAAAGACGACCCTTCACTTGGTCCCGTTGCTGGCAGCATAAATCTCTCAGGCAGTCAGATTCGAGGCGATTGGACTATCCGAAACTTAGCAATGTGAAGCAAACCGTAATACCGTAATGTATCTCCACAGGAAGTAGGAGAGACAGAGGCAGGCATTCTGGCAGGCACTGACTCTCCGAAGCCCCATCTCTATGCATGCTAAAAAAAATTAAAACATCAAATAACGTTTGGGGACCTTTGGTCTATGGCACAAACAGTACTTTTAGCGTGACAGAGGCACACATAAGGTAGCGTCATCTTTCTCGTGAAAGTCATTGATGACGATTTAGAAATAGGCTCCAGCTCGTGATATAAGCTCACGTGGCAAATGCAGGAACGAGCTGGCGCCACGGAATAAGCCGTTCAGTGACCACAACCGCAAAGTGAATTCACAGTTCACTTGTGGCACTTCACCAACTGTGATGAGCAGGTTATGCAAGAAAAACAAACCTCTGCCCTCTTAGCAAATATGAACACATCATGCAACCAAATAATCATGATGGAGATTTATTCTTCAAAAGTTGAAGATGCTTCCGCTTTGTGTGTTCTTGGTGGGGTCAGGTTGGTGATTCGTCAAGATCTTTGCAGCAGTAGCCTAAATAGTGGTGACACGACAGTTGGTTCAACTCCCCTGTCCCATTGAGGGGTTTGCGTTGACGGCATGGTTAGTGGCCCGCTTTTGATGATACGCAAACTCAAGGGTTGCAGTGTGTCCAGAACTGCCTTCTTTACGTGTGTAAAACCCATATCTCACCGAGCGGCGAAGGTTTGGCGAGTGCTTGCGTGATGCTCAAATGTTGATTTTTCATCAGGGTGCATTGAGGGACGTAAACGGTCGCAAAGTGGCACGCGAAACATTCGCCAAGAGTTTCAATGGTCACAGCTAGCATTTGTATGTTTCAACTTTCTTTGCGACAAGAAAACCTGTTTGCAGCCTTTTAAGAACCCTGACGAAAAGCCAACATTTGCGACCTAGGTAAACACTCGCGGCTCAGTGAGGGGATTTTAGGCCTGAGAGTTTGAGGGTTCTACGCAGACTGTTAGTTCTTCCCCAATACAGTGGTACCTCGACTTACGAACGTCTTTTCAGACAAAATTTTCAAGTTACAAAATGCCTCAAGAGGAAAATATTGCCTCTTGTTACGAAAGAAATTTCAAGATACGAAAGGTAAAAATACTGTTTGGTCTGCTACTCGCAGCTCCGAGTTTCCTGAACGCAACATACTTATGGCTGCTCTCCCATTGGGTATTACGCAGGATAATCCTGGCATCCCATTGGCTAAGAGGGACCCCTACCGTGTGTGTCTATGTGTGTCAATAAATAGAGATGCGTCGATGTAGCGTCCTCGTCAATCCCCCCACGGGCTATGAGGCGTTCCGATAGTTTTATGTAAATGTGAATCACCCAGAAAAAGTGTACACCAGCCGGGCGGTCGCTCACTACGCTGATGTTTGCCTTGGACATTTTTGAAGGATTGTTAAAAGCCGACAAAAGCAAACGTACTTGGATCAGTTCTTTACAAAACGCCAGGCAAAAACCTCATCGAAGACAGCACATGAGCTCAAGAGGGCAAAAAACGATGAGGGCCCAGTTAAAAGTAAAATGACCATTATTTTTAATCTTTGTTTTTTACATGATGCACAATTCCTTTATTGCGCAATAATCTGATTCCATCCATTTTTGGATCCGCTTTATCCTGACAAGGATCCATGAGGATCCCTACATTTCTTGCAGTTTCTGTTGAGAAACATTCTAAAACTCTTCACAAAGTGGTGAATGTCATCCCATGCTTGCTTGTGAACGCCAGAGCCTTTCACTGATGTAGCCTTTATCCCCAGTCATGACACTCACTCCTTTCCAATGAACCTCTTCACCTGTGGAGTATTCCGAATATGTGTGAAAAAAAACATGAATCCAAAATTGTTTCTCTCATTCCCCAAATGAAGACGAACACTTGGAAAGCACCTTTGTTGAGCGAGGCACCAGGAGGATGGTGGTGAAGCTGGTGGCATGTGTGTTTGTTGTGTCCATGCGCCACGTTCACGCCCAGTGCAGTCGACTGCATCGAGTGGTGCCCCATGATTAAAAATGCTTTTGTGTGCTCAGAAGCCACTTGAGCCATTGGCCCAACAGGATAGTAATTTTTTTTTTTTTGTCCAGGGTATGCATGGCGAGCACTCATAGCCAGTTACTTTCAACACAAGAAGAATTTCACAATCACACAGAATGCAAGAAAAAAAAAATCCTCCATTTATTTTTTTTATAACGTTTTTTAATGCTTTCCAACGAAACTACAGAGAAAATAGGTTGAACCACCAACACACTCCAATCCTTTGGTAATTATATGAAAGGATTGTGTAAGACGTCCATTTTGAAGGACTTCAAGTTGGGGGTTTGTCCGCTGGCACTGTGTCCATTTTGGAGGACTTCAAGTTGGGGGTTTGTCCGCTGGCACTGTCACGGCCACACGCACTCCTGGCCACCGGTGGCTGGAAGACAGAAAGGACAACATGCGACCATGTCAATTTTCTTTTGTTTCTGCGATTAATCACAGTGAACCCCCATTAATTGTGGGGGCAGTGGTGGTTGTAGAGTAGCTTGAAAGACATCGTCTGGTCGAAACTACCGTGCTTGTGCAAACAAGCAATGAGAGACAGAAGGCGGACTTATTGGATGTCAGTCATGAATCGCACATGGGTGCAGTTGTTTCTTGCAAGTGGAATGGGACAGGATGGGGTTAGACATGGCAGCACTGCTTATTGTCAGGCCATAGTGACAACTTTGCATATTGTTTCTGATGGTTTGAGCACATATCAAAAGCAAATATCTTGCTGAATTGTTCAAACCTTCATATTTGTATTTTTTTAAGCAATCAATTTACACAATTTGGTCAGTGTGCCAACTCCACGCTGGTGGCAAAAATGGAAAGCACATTTGGGTTTTGCTTTCTGTGTGCACAAGGCTGGCAAAAGACGATGAAACAATGTACAGGTACTCACATGGGTTATCACGGCAGATTTTGCCCGGCTCACACAGGACCCAATAATCACAGATTCCCCCAGACGGCCCACAGGTACGGCAATACTGAGCTTCACCTGAGGGGTAGAGTTGGGAGTGTTTGATCAATTGAAATGATTTTTTTTCCTTTCGGCTTGTCCCATTCAGCGTCGCCGCAGCGTGTCATCCATTTCCATCAGTTTGTCTTGCGCGTCCTCCTCTCCAACACCGACTGCCCTCGTTTGGCTTTTGACTGCGCATGAGACTTGATTTTGAGTTTTAATCATTTTTGTGCTTTCTGTTGTATTCGTTATTGAATTATTTTATTGTTCGTTGCTGTCTGAATTGTTTTTTGCTCCATGTGCAGCACTTTGTATACAGCGGTGGTTGTTTTAAAGTGCTCTATAAACACAGTTAATTTGACTTGACTCATGTCTTCCATCGCTCCATCCGTCGAGCTTGTCTTCAGTCTTCCTCTTGCCCTCTTTCCCAGAGCCTCCAATTCTCGTCACCCTTCCACCAACATATCCTGTCCTGTAAACGCGACCCAACCAGCTAAGTCAGCTCTCTCTAGCCTTTCCCCCCAAAGCATTGTGTGGAATTGTGGCTCCTCATAATTTAGTCTCATGAAATGTAACACCCCCCCCCAACCCCCTTGTATTAGTACAGCTCCTTTCTCTACTGTGTAGAATAAACTAGGCTGTCTGAAAGGAAAATGACACTCACCAGCTGTGACCAGCACGGCGACGCAGAAAGCCAAGATCAACCACTTCATTGTCATGTTCACCACGATAGCCTGTCGTCGACTTGTCAGTTTACGCTTCTTCGACTCAACGATCACTTCAGTCCAATGTGGTCTTTTATACATTAGTTGCTCTTGTTTGCTTGTTGTCTTTTCCAGCCTTGCCCCTCGTCCAAATATGTATCTATATGATTTCTCATGGTCCCACCCTGACTCGAGGCGTTCGTCAGCCCCCCTTCACACAACCCAATTTATGACGTGAACGATTTAATGCACAGGTCCAGTCCTATAGAGCTTGCCAATGAGCTGATCAGTTGGATCAGGTGTGTTGCAGCAGGGAGAGATGGCAAACATGCAGGACGCCGGCCCTCGAGGACCAGACTTTGACACCGATGATTTCATGTGAAGAAACTGTACATTAAAACCTGCTTTGCGTGCTTTAAACAAGGGACCTAACTTGTCATCATTGGTAAAATGACATTTATTTACCTGAACTTTTTACTCTTGATGAACTTAGCGACGAATTTCTCAAAGGGCCGAAATTTCTCTCTTTTCGTCAAGTAAAATTGGACTGAAACGAAAATACAATCAAATGCCTAAATTATGACGAAAAATTGTTGTCAAAATGAACAACGGGGAGGGCTGAACACATTTAGGGGGAAAAAAAATTGAATTGCGATTTCTCTGACACAAATTGTGTTTTCAATTCATTTCATGATTTTCTTCAAATTAAGCTTCAATGCGAAATTCACTCGGTACTGTAACTTTTAGGCACATGACCTAAAATAACACCTTACGTGCTAACCAGTAGACCACCGTGCCGCTCGCTCAAAACATATGCAACCAACATTTCAGAGTTCTTTTTTTTTTCACTGCAAAAAAATGATTTTAATGCGACTTACTATCATGCTGAAGGCAGTTGCTCATGGACAGATTTCTCATCGTCAAGCCTGTTGGTCCATGCCATCCATAGCATTTTGGATGCAAGACGCAAATTCCCGACATCAATGCCAGGCAGAGGAAAAGTTTCACTTTTCTGTCATGGCATTGCATAGCTCACCTGAGGAGTAGAGTTGGGGGTGTTTGATAAGTTGAACTTATTTTTTTCCTCACACAACAAAAGATTCTTAGGATGATTGTTGGGATCATTGTCATCAAGTAACCTATGCAGAGGTACCTGTAATTCGGCAGTCACTATCTCTTTGAACAATGGAAAGAGGGGAAAACATTCATTACTTTCACACCATAGCAAGCAAAACACATGGCCAAGAAGTCATCGTTGAACATGCCATCCACAGTCATGCTTTCATCAATTAAATGCACACATGTACCAGTAAACACCCTCACAATACAAGCAAGAACAAATCTAAGAAAAAACAACATCAAGAATTGTCAAAAATTAAGACTTTGGCGTTGATGTGCTTTTTCGATATGAATTGAATGAATGAGCCACTGACTGCAGTATGCGAAATGGTAAAATAAATAAATAAAATTTCAGTGCACAACAGGTTATGTATCTCACCGAGCGAAAAAGGTTGGGCGAGTGCTTGGGTGAGGTTCCAATGTTGATTTTGCATCAGGTTGTATTCAAGGTGAGAGGATCAGTTCAAGCAAATGTGTTCTTTCATACATTAGTATCTCTTGTTTGCTTATCGTCTGACTTTACAGCCCCGGTCCAAATATATGTATCTGTTTCATTATTCCTGATTATTCATTCATCAAATTGTAAACTTTGCCGACGCCTTGGAATGAGCCTGTCTCCAGTCACGTTGCCCCCGGTTATGATGTGTTTGAGCAACTGACAGGGTGCCTCAGCACACCAGGAGAAGAGGGAAAAAAATACATTAGCAGCAATGTTTAAACATCCATCCATCCATCCATGATCTGATGCGTTTATTTTCACAAGGGCCGCGGTCTTGCTAGAACCAATCCCAGCTGTCTTCGGGCTGGAGGTGGCTTACACCCTCAACTGGTTGCCCGCCATCGCAGGACACGCAGAGGCGAAGAACAAGTCGCGCTCACAATCGCACCGAAGGACAATTTAGAGTAATCGCTTAAGTTACCTATCCGACATGTTTTTGCAATCTGGGAGTCAACCGGAGTAAAACCCACTCAGGCCCAGGGAGAACATGCAAACTCCACACAGGATGGCTTCGGACCGGGATCGAACTCACGATCTTGCACTGTGAGGTCCGCACGCGCTAACCACTGGACAATGCTTCAACTTGACGAGAGATATGGCTTGTACTCTGCTATCTGTAGCAAGGTTCTCAATGCCTTGACCTGGTTTGATAAGAGGTCAAAAAACGTGAATGCAAAAATGTTCCTGTCATTCCCTGAATGAAGATGAACACTTGGAAAGCACCTTTGTTGAGCGAGGCACCAGGAGGATGGTGGTGAAGCTGGTGGCATGTGTGTTTGTTGCGTCCATGCGCCACATACACGCAGTGCAGCAGACTGTATTGTTGAAAATACTTTTGTTGTGTTTTTTTTGTGCTCAGAAGCCACTTGAGCCATTGGCCCAACGGGATAGTAGTTTCTTTTGCAGGGTATGCATGGCCAGCACCCAAAGCCGGTTACTTTGAACGTGACAAGAATTTTTCAATCACACAGAATACAAGCAAAAAAAGCCCCCAATTTTTTTTATAACGTTTTTTAATGCTTTGCAACTAAACTACAGAGAAAATAGGTTGAACCACCAACACCCTCCAATTCTTTGATGCTCTTATTTCAGGAGTGTCGAAGAGGTCCATTCTGGAGCACTTCAAGGTGGCGGTTAGTCAACTGTCACGGTCACGGATCCGCGCAATACTGTCCGATGTTGACTGCAAGACAGAGAAAGAACAATATGTGACGATGTCAATATTCTTTCGTTTCTGTGATTCAGTGAAGCCCCATTTACTGTGAGGGCCTTTGACACACGTTGATCATCTTCGTAAGCCCCCCAGTGTGCCAAACCCACATCTGGCTTTTGCTTTCTCTGTGCACAAGGTTGGCAAAATAGGATGAAACAATGTACAGCTACTCACGTGGCTGATTACGGCAGACTTGGCCCGGTGCACACGTTTGAATGCGAGGAATGCATGGTAGCCCAAACGAGAAAACACAGTAATTGCATTGCAGGGCTTCACCTGAGGGGTAGAGTTGGGAGTGTTTGATCAATTGAAATGATTTTTTTTCCTTTCGGCTTGTCCCATTCAGCGTCGCCGCAGCGTCGTCTCGGACACCAACTGCCCTCGTTTAGCTTTTGACTGCGCATGAGACTTGATTCTGGGTTTGACAGTTTTTGTGCTTTCTACTGTCTTCGTTATTGATTTGTTTTATTGTTTGTTGCTGTATGAATTTTTTTTTTGCTCCATGTACAGCACTTTGTATACAGCGGTGGTTGTTTTAAAGTGCTCTATAAATACGGTTGATTTGACTTGGCTCATGTCTTCCCTCGCTCCATCCGTCGAGCTCCTCTTCAGTCTTCCTCTTTCCCGGCACCTCCATTCTCGTCACCCTTCTACCAACATATTCTGTCCCATGAACGCGACCCAACCAGTTAAGTCGGCTCTCTCTAACATTTTCCCCCGCCAAAACGATCAAACCTCGGGTTTTCCCTCTGATGAGCTCATTTCTGATCCAATCCATCCTCGCCACTCCAAAAGAAAAACTCGACTTCCTGTCGTTTTGTCACTGCAACTGTCTCGAATCCGCACATCATGGCCGGCCTCACCAGTGGTTTCGAAACTTTGCCCTTTGCCCGAACAAGAGACTCTTCTACCACAACGAGGACATGTATTTGATAATTAAATTGATTTTGAAACAATCAGACTTCCTTCTTGTGGTCATGGTTATTGTGTGTGTGTGGGGGGTGGGGGGCAGTGTTCTTGTGGAATTATGATTTATCACGGTTTCTACATAGTTTATGAGACCTTTGTTTTCGAATTACAGCTTCTCAATATTTAGTCTCATGAAATGTAACCCCACCCCTTTTGTATTAGTACGGCTCCTTTCTCGCAAAATTATGACATCTCCTATAAAATTGCTGATTTATTCTCGTGAAATCTAGACTGACCGAAAGGAAAATGACACTCACCAGCTGTGACCAGC